TAGGTTGTACAGGGAGAAATACCTGTTAGTCTTGAGTCAGGTTTTTGTGAATGAACAGTCTTGGGCCAGACAAGGATTCAGTTCATCACTGTGATCATATCGGCATCACACGCTCCCCGTAGACACTTCCCAATCTACACACAGAGAAATAGGCTAGGCAGAGAGAACTTCCTGACCATCCCTGGTCAGCAAAGCCACCACATAACCAGATGATGGTCAGAGCAGGAACGATGCTGATGATGAAATCACCTTCCTCTTATCTGAAAACAATTTCCAGGAGTTATTCTCAATTAAGAAACAGATTAGACATTTACCTTCAAAAGGGCCATCACACTTAGAAAATAACTTCCTCCTGACAATCCCAAACTGAATGTGGAAAACAGTGTAAACAAAAACAAGGAAACATCCGGCCGATTGGTCTAAACTTTGGGGCCCAGAGTATTAAAAGGCCCAGATTGGAAGGAGGCATCAGAATCTGGGAAACTCACCTCTGAACAGAAGCCCACCCTCCCACCGGACACCATGACCCACTGCTGCTCCCCTTGCTGCCAGCCCACCTGCTGCAGGACCACATGCTGCAGGACCAATTGCTTCCAGCCCACCTGCTGTGAGTCCAGCTGCTGCCAGCCCTGCTGCCGCCCAACTTGCTGTCCAACCACCTGCTGCAGGACTGCCTGCTGGAAGCCCACCTGTGTGACCACCTGCTGCAGCACACCCTGCTGCCAGCCCACCTGCTGTGTGTCCAGCTGCTGCCAGCCCTGCTGCCGCCCCAGTTGTTGCAGCTCATCCTGCTGCCAGCCCAGCTGCTGTGGGTCCAGCTGGTCCAGCTGCTGCCAACCCAGCTGCTGTACCCCTGTGTACTGCAGAAGAACCTGCTACCACCCCACGTGTGTCTGCCTGCCTGGCTGCCTAGGCCAGAGCTGCGGATCCAGCTGCTGCCAGCCCTGTTGCTGCCCTGCCTGCTGTGTGTCCAGCTGCTGCCAGCCTTCCTGCTGCTGATCATCTCCTCAAAGAACCACCCTCTGCACAAACCAAACTTCTGTCACCTGACTTCCATGCCTGAATGTATTCACGGCCTACCTTTGCTCAAAACCACCATGCTATCTCCAAAAATCTGTCACTCATCCACTTTTCTTAAAGTTGGTATATCACCTTGTGGGGTGTAGAGTACTTCTCTCTCATTCCCTTCTTTCTGCGAGCAGCTTCCTGTTCCTCGACACAGGGTTATGGTCTCAGCTTTGACTCTGAAGCCATGATCTTCACCTCTCCCCCAGAATAACTTAGGAAAATATATCTTCCCCAAAATATCCATATCTAAGCCTGTACCATCAAAATGGAGTTCTGCAACTGATCAGTAATCTTTATAACCATGTTTTATAACAATGTCCTCGGGATTCTTGTGCCAAAATTTTTCCTTACACGATCACTGTGGTTGTCACCCTAGACTCGGGCGGTCCTAATAAATGCTATACTATGATTCATCCCATATTGTCTTCATTTTTTGTGGAAGAACTCTTGACCTGGAATCTACCCGCTTAATAGATTTTTAAATGTACCATACGTTATCTTTTTACCACAAATAGTAGGCACAATGTGCAGCACATTTCTTTTCCATCTTGTGTAATTGAGATTTAATGCACCTTGATGAGCAACTCCCGTTTTCCCCTCTCCTGGCCTGTGGAATTCATTCTAATCTTTGCTTATATGACTTTGACTTATTTGTAGACCCTGTGATATCTGTCCTTCTGTGGCTGGCTTATTTCACTCAGCATAATGTTCTCAATGGAGAGGTTCATCCATCCTATCACAAATGGAAGGGTTTCCTTCTTTTTTGAAGGCTGAATAATAATCTGTATTCTCTTCTATCTACTATACTTTTTTGATCCATCCATTCACTGCTGGACAATTGAATTAATTTCACACCTTTGCTCTTGTGAATAACGCTGCCATAAACATGGTGTGCTAATGTCTCTCCAAGATCCTCATTTCATTTCTTGTGGATAAATACCCAGAAGTGAGATTGCTGAAATATATAGTAGTCCATTTTTAATTTTTTGAGGCTCCTCCCTACTGTTTTCCAACGTGCTACTCCATTTTACCTTCCACCAGTGTACAAGAGTTCCAGTTTCCCCCCACCTTTGATAACACCTTTTGTCTGTTGTCTCTTGTTAATAATAACTAATCCTAATATTATAATATTTCAATTATTCCAATACTGGAATAATTTCCCAATATTTAGTAATGGCATGCATTCAGGCAAAAATTCACGATCTTGCCTAAGGAACTGGAAGACTGGAGGAACATTGTCCTTCTCCCCTGTGCTGTGCTGAGCTGAGCACTGTCGACAATTACCTCCATGCTCCAAACTAATTTCAAAATTCCATAGTTATCCACTCCGTTCCCTTTTAAGAAATGCACATTCATTTTCACAAAATCCTCAACTAGGCTAATATAAAATTTGCTAATCTCTTTAAGTTGCCTTTGCATATACTGGCTCTGCTCTTATTTATATCACTTTGAAGATCCGTTTTCCAAGGGTATTTTTCTCTTCCATTTTCCTGTTTTATGGCACCCAAGTATAGACCCCAAATGGTGATATTTCCAATCTATCAGTTTAAACTTTCATTTGGTTCATTTCTACCATAACATTGCAGAGCCAATTACCATATTTACATGCTATACAAGTCTGATTCCACTTGTAGTGAGATTCTACTTGTAGGTAGCTCAGAGTTTCCTCTCCAGCCTCTTTTAGAGTCTCAATGTAAAGCTAAGGAGAACATGTCTGGCTTTTAAAAATTACATGAGCGCTCATGTTTTGCGTGTTTGTTGATCAGGTGATAATCTGGCATCACCAGTTTGTTATTTGTGATCTGCCAATCACATTTTCTGCCAGGGCCTCTTTAATACATTTACCTGATGCTGTTTATCTTGCAGAAAGTACCTTTTCTTATCATTTGAGTTGAGGGTTAAAGACAATTTCTCGCTTATGTTCTCTGGATTAATATAAGATTACTGTAGAAATAACCAAATACTGGTTTCAGAAAATTGTTCTAGATGTTGTTGTCTCTTTTCAAAGTAGATTACACAGTCTCCAGTTGGCTACAAATTTCTCCTTGGAATTCCCTGCCTGATGTGTGTGTTAGAAATTGACCCACAAGATATTCCAGTGTACCTACTGGAAAGAGGACTAATGTTCCCAAAGTCCACACTCTGCAATAGAACAGCTGGTGTATTTTATAGGCATGAAAGTGACTTCAGAAATACCAGTACCGGGAGTCACATCAAAGTTAAATTGGAAGGGTAGGAATCTAGCCATATTCAGAACTTATTTATTAGAGAAGGTGGAGGAATAATGAAAGAATGGGAGGAAGTATTTTAATGTAATGACCATATATATCCTAACCGAGATAGAAACAACTCAAATCTAGTGCCATATGTATACATGATCGTAGTCACATTGAATGATTTTCGGAAATAATTAACATTTGAAAATTCATCAATTTTAAATCACATTTCCTGAAAAAAGTAGAATAATCATAGCATTACCTCAATATATAAATACAAAGCATTTTCTAAATTTCAACTCATTTCCAAGATACAATACCTTAGCAAATAAGAATAGAAAAGCCTCAGTATTCTGATGAAAAGAGTCTACAAAAAAGACAGAAAATATCACATTTAACTGTGAAATATTGAGAAGTGTTTCTACTATATCAAGAATATGTATAAAGATATCCATGAAACCATTCTATTCAACACTGGACGGAGGGCCTAGCAGTGAACTTGGTCAAGAAAGAAAATCAAAATAGAATAAACTGCCATATAATGAATAAAACTATTATCATTATAACATGGCTGTATACCTGGAAAATCCTAAAGATGCCCCCAGAAACTTCTATACCTTATAAACAACCTTGGTAAAGTCTCAGTTTCCAAAATCAATGTAAAAAAATCAGTATCTTTCTATACACCAATAAAATTCAAGCTAAAAACCAATCAAGAGCTCAATACCATTTACAATAGCCACAAACAAATAAAATACCTAAGAATACGTCTAATCAAGGATATGAAAGATCTCTACAAGAAAAACTGTGGAACATTGATGGAAGAAATAGTAGATGGCACAAATAAATGGAAGAACATCCCATGTTTGTAGATCAGAAGAATCAATGTCATTAAAATGAACATACTGCCCAAAGCCATCTACAGATTCAATGCAATCCCTATCAAAATAATAACAGGTTTTCACAGAACAAAAAAGAAAATCTTATATTTATATGAAACCAGAAAAGAGCCTAAATAGCCAAAGTAATCCTAAGTGAAAGGAACAAATGCTGAAGCATCACATAGCCTGACTTCCACTTACACTACAAAGCTATGGTAACTAAAGCTGCATGCTCTTGGTACAAGAATAGATGGTTAAATCAAAGGACAAAATAGAGAACCCAGAAATAAAGCCACATATCTTCAACCAACTGATCTTCAACAAAGCTGACACAAATAAGCAATGAAGAAAGAAAACTCTGTTCAATAAATGGTGCTGGGAAAACCAGCTAGCCATATACAGAAGAATGAAACTGGACCCCTACCTCTTACCATATACCAAAATTAACTCAAGATAGATTAAAGACATAAATGTCAGACCTGAAACTTTAAAAGGTCTAGAATAAAATCTATGGTCTTCAGCCTAGGCAAAGAATTCATGACAGAAACCCCAAAAAACAATTGTGACAAACCAAAAATAGACAAAGTGGAATCTAACTAAAAAGTTTCTATACAGCAAAAGAAATATACACAGAATAAACAGAAAACCTACAAAATGAGAGAAAATATTTTCAAATTATGTCTCAAAGGAGCTAGTATCAGGAATCTAAAAGGCACGCAAACACACTCAATATAATTTTTAAAAACTCAGCCTGCAATGCCGTGCCTTGGGAGGCTGAGGTGAGTGGATTGCCTGAGTCTGCGGGTTCAAGACTCGCCTGGGCAACTTGGCGAGACCTCATCTCTACAATAAATCAAAACTTAGCCGGGCGTGGTAGCGCTCGCCTGTGGTTCCAGCTACTTGGAAGACTGAGGTGGAAGGATCGCCGGAGCCCAGCAGGTCGAGGTTGCGGTGGCCGGGAGCAGCCACGGCACTCCAGCCTGGGTGACAGAGTCAGACTCCAACTCAAAATAATAATAATAATAATTTTAAAATTCCATCAAAAAGTGGACAAAGGACATGAAAAGACACCTCTCATAGAAGACACACAAGCTGCCAACAAACATGAAAAAACGTTCAACATCCCTAATCATCAAAGAAATGCAAATTCAAACCACAATGAGGTATCACCTTACACAGTCAGAATGCTTATTATTAAAAAGTCAAAGAAGAGCAGACGTTGGTGAGGCTGTGGAGAAGAGGGGACACTCATCCGCTGTTGGTGGGATTGTAAGGTGATTCAACCTCTATGGAAAGCAGTACGGAGATCTCTCAAAGAACTAGAAATTGAATTTCCATTCAAGTCAGCAATCTCACTACTAGGCATCTACCCAAAGGAAAAGAAAGCATTAGGTAAAAAAGATACCTGTACTCATATGTTTATTGAAGCACTATTCACAATAGCAAAATCATGGAATCAACCTAAGTGCCCACCAAAAACTGACCAGATGAAGAAAATGTGTTGTGTACACACCATGGAATGCTACACAATCATCAAAATGAATGAAATCATGTACTTTGCAGCTGGGTAACATCAGCCTAAGCAAACGAACTCAGAAACAGAAGGCCAAACACCCTATATTTTCACTTGTATGCAGGAGATAAATGGCCACAAAGATGGAAACAACAGACATTGAGGGCATCATTAAAAGGAGAGGGGAGGAGGAGGGTTAGGATTCAGAAATCACCTATTGGGTACAACATTCACCACCCAAGTGACGCCGCCTAAGACCCAATCCCCACCACTACACAATATGTCCATGTCATAAACATGCACTTGTACCCTTTCAATCTAACTCTTAAAAAAAAAAAAAAAACTATCACCAGCAACACATAATATGACCACATGTAAAATTTCCAAAAAGAAAAAGTCTATTGATAGTGACTGATAAAATAAGAAAAAGTAAGACAGAGAGAAAGAGGGAGGAAGGCAAGAATGGAGGGAAGGAGGGAGGAAAAGAGATGTTAAGTCAGTGGCCTGAAATCTCTGTCCCTGGTGGAAAGCAGAGTTAGGACTAGAGTGACTGATCTATCTAAGTTTGCACACAACCGTTCCCATTAGTCACTGAAACTCTCACAACCTGAGAAATCCCTGAGTCCCAGGTAAAGCAGGAAGAATGGTCACCCCAGGACATAAGTTGTTTAATGTTTCTGAATCCCAGTGTACTCCTCCTTCTACTCACCTACTTTGGCTCTGTTCTGCCTCATGGAGCACATTGGTAAACATCCCCTTCTCACATGACTTTGATAAAACGGGAAGACCCAGGTAGAGTAGGTTGTACACGGAGAGATGTCTATTCGTCTTGAGTCAGTCTTTTGTGATGAACAGTCTTGGACCAGACAAGGATTCAGTTCATCACTGTGATCCATATCGGCATCACACCCTCCCCGCAGACACTTCCCAATCTACACACAGAGAAATAGGCTAGGCAGAGAGAACTTCCTGACCATCCCTGGTCAGCGAAGCCACCACATAACCAGATGATGGTCAGAGCAGGAACGATGCTGATGATGAGATCACCTTCCTCTTATCTGAAAAGTTTCCGGGAATTATTCTCAATTAAGAAACAGATTAGACATTTACCTTCAAAAGGGCCATCACATTTAGAAAATAACTTCCTCCTGACAATCCCAAACTGAATGTGGAAAACAGTGTAAACAAAAACAAGGAAACATCCTGCCGATTGGTCTAAACTTTGGGACCCAGAGTATAAAAAGGCCCAGATTGGAAGGAGGCATCAGAATCTGGGAAACTCACCTCTGAACAGAAGCCCATCCTCTCTCCTGACACCATGACCCACTGCTGCTCCCCTTGCTGCCAGCCCACCTGCTGCAGGACCACATGCTGCAGGACCTCTTGCTTCCAGCCCACCTGCTGTGAGTCCAGCTGCTGCCAGCCCTGCTGCCACCCAACTTGCTGTCCAACCACCTGCTGCAGGACCGCCTGCTGGAAGCCCACCTGTGTGACCACCTGCTGCAGCACACCCTGCTGCCAGCCCACCTGCTGCGTGTCTAGCTGCTGCCAGCCCTGCTGCCGCCCAACTTGCTGTCCAACCAACTGCTGCAGGACCACCTGCTGCCAGCCCACCTGCTGTGAATCCAGCTGTTGTGGCCAAACCTGCAGCGGGTCTAACTGCTGCCAGCCCAGCTGCTGTGCCCCCGTGTACTGCAGGAGAACCTGCTACCACCCCACATGCGTCTGCCTGCCTGGCTGTCTAGGCCAGAGCTGTGGATCCAGCTGCTGCTGCCAGCCCTGCTGCCGCCCAGTCTGCTGCATGTCCAGCTGTTGCCAACCTTCCTGCCACTGATTCTCTCCCCACAGAATCATCCAGCACAGCACACCTGCCAGTTCCCTGTTTCCTGCCTTGAGTGTCATCACCAGGCTTCACTAACATCCAGCTTGCTGTTACCGTCTTTCTATTCGTTTCTTAATAAACAGATGTTGTGAGTCATCTTGGTAAGAAGCAGAGCCCTTCACCCTGACTTTCTAGGGCAGCGGTTACCTTTGATCTCTATGAAAGGTTCTTAGAGCCTTCTTTGGGTCCCCTCTACCTACTGTCATTGTCTCAACCTTGAAAAATGATCATCACGTTCCCTCTAAGTAAAGTAACACACAAATTCTTATGACGAATTCCTCAGCTTTCTTTTATGTTTACTCTTTTCTCATAATCACGTTTTTTCTAATGTCTACGATATTCTTCTGTCTACTTTGTTCTATTAGTGATGACTTTACATTGTCTTCCCAGAAAAATATCCCTTAGTCTTTCCCAATAAAGTCTTTGCTATCCTCCATCCTATTGTTTTTATTTTTTGTACATTTACTTTATTATCATTATTTTATTTTAGATTCAAGGGGAACACATGCAGATTTCTCACAGCCTATTGCAAAATGGTGAGGTTTGACCTTCTATTGCACCTGTCACCCAGGGAAAAAATAACCCCAATAAAAAGTGGGCAAAGGACATATACCTTTAAGGATTTCTGTGCATATTTCATTTCACAATTGTCTATTATGAGTCTGTCTGTCAATGATCCCTAAGCTCATAGAACCAAGATGATCCTCTCCCTCTTTCCTCATGACCAATGTGCCTTAGTAAGGCCACGTGCCGAGTTATGAACAGAATTTGGTCAAGAACCTGGTGCCTCTAATTCTAGCTCCAGGGCACTGAGTTTACATCTTACTACAAGCACAAAAAATTGATACAATAACAACAACAAAACCGGTGATCTGAGCACTGAGCACTTGTAAGGTATGTGCTTTGGATAGCATGGAGATAATTTTTCTGTTTACCAATGTATTTGCCCACCTGTTTCCATAATCCCAGTGATCACTCACATCTGTAAAGCCAGTAGGCTGGCTTAAGAGCCACCCAATAGACTTGAGTATCTGCTGTATTCCTAGCACTGTGTGACACACTTAAGTCCAAGGGTCCCTAAAAGACAATTGTACTTTGATGTCAAGGGATGACATGCTGGGACAGTCTTATTCCTGTGGAATAGTAAAAAGAGATCCAGTAAGATGCTTGCCCTCAGGCCGTATTTCGTGTACCTGCATACCTTGAGCCCATTGTTTTTTTGTCTTGACCAGGCATTATTTAGGAACTTAAGTATGGACATGGTCCTGGAGGACTTCCTAGTTCATAACAGAGGAAGGAGATAAGTTGAGGTAGTAATAGTTGTTGATTATACTTAGATTGGCCAGACGTGGTGGTGTGTGCCTGTAGTCCTAGTTACTTGGGAGGCTGAGATGAAAGGATCACCTGGGAATTGGAGGCTTTAGTGAACTATGATCATGCCTCAGCTCTCCACACTGGATCGCAGAGTAGGACTATGTCGCTAAATTAATTAATTAATTAAAAATATATTTAGATATTGATCTAAATCATTGTTCTTCACCCTTGACACTGTTGACATTTGGGGCCAGATAATTATTTGTTGGTGGAATAGAGTGTGCTGAAGAATGCTGAACCATATCCCTGGCCTCTCCCCACTGGATGCCAGTAACATCCCTTCCCAATTGCATCATACAGAGCTAGGATGGTGAGAAAACTGGATAAACAATTAAAGAATAAGTGTGGAATCTACAAAGGACTTCTCAAAATTACACCTTAAAATAAAAAGAAAACATGACATATCAAAATTCATAGGATACCACAAAAGCAAAGCTCTAAGGATAATACATAGTTTTAAATTCTTAATATTGAAGAGAGGATGTATATTCATCACAGCACTGTTTACAATAACAAAGCCATGGAACCAACCTAAATGCCTGTCAACCATTGACTGAGTGAAGAAAATGTGGTATGTATACACCATGGAATACTATGCAGTCACAAAAAAGAACAAAAGTCTGTCCTTTGCAGCAACATGGATGGAGCTGGCGGCCATTATCCTAAGTAAATCAACACAGAAACAGAAAACCAAGCACCATATGTTCTTGCTTATATGTGGGAGCTAAACAAAGGGTGCTCATGGACATAAAGATGGAAATAATAGACACTGGGGACACAAAAATGGAGGAGGGGAGGAGGGGGGATTAGGGTTCAAAAACGACCTATCAGGTACAATATTCACTATTTGGGGAAAAAGGACACAAGAAGCCCAGTCCCACAACACAATATTACAAACATACACTTGTACTCCCAAATCTAAAACTTTAAAATGTAAATAAAAATAGGTAAATGAAATGAAGAGTAAAACCTTATAATTAGTGAGCTAAGTGTCCCATCTTAAGGAATTAAAATAAAAGCAACAGCAGTGCTCCCAAACTACATAAAGGAAAACAAACACCAAAAATTAGAGTCGAAATTAATAAAACAGATAATAAAAGAAAAATAGCGAAGTTCAACAGAGTCAAAATTTAGGTCTTATAAAAGAAAGCAAACAATATAGTTAAAATTGGCAATATTTATCAGCTAAGAAAAAAATCATTATGAAAGAAAAAGTGGACATAAAATGTAAATTAAGCAGATTTTTAAATAATAAGAAAATGAAATTATTTTAAATATTTGTTGCTATGTTCTAAACCATTTATTAATAAATGAGAACAGCAATCTATTGTTTTTCATAATTTCACGAGCTGACTGAGCCCAGTTATTTTCCCTCATGTGGTATTGACTCAGAGAAGGTATTTACAATACACACCAGGGACAAAGACTTGGTCTTAGGCACATATATGTAGCTCCACAAACCAACTAGCACAAATGATGTAATAGAAAACTGTGTAAAAGATGTGGATAGGAATTTTGCATTCAAGAAAACACATCTGGTCAATAAGCATATGAAAACATACTCAACACCATAAGTAACCAAAAAAATTCAAATCAAAACCTCAAGATTCCAATTCATACCACTATACTGAAAAACAATGCAAAGTTCTGACAATACCAAGAATTAAGGAGGTTGCAGACCCACAGAATCTCTTGTACATTGGAGGAGGGTAGAGGGAAGTTTAAGTTTGCAAGGCAAATCTGGGAAATACTTTAGTGTTTTCTCCTAAGTGACAGACCAATCATCTGTCAATCAAACATGCCAATTAACTAACTCCCCTGGTTTTGCTGACAACCAATGAGCTGTCACCAAACAGTTAGTTTGTCTTGTTAAACTGTGAAGCAGTTGGTGAAGAAGAGCCTGCTTTACTTTGATACTTGTCTTACTTATTTCTTGTAGCTCAGTGTTCCAGTTGCTGGTCAGCTTCGTCTATCCTTGTCATGAAGTCAAATTCTCACCCTTGGGAAAGTTATCGTCTTTTTCCCCCTCTAAGAATCTTAAGTGTCCGCCACTGATCAATATGGCTGCAAATGATCAGTATCAATCATGTTAATTAATTACTCATTTAAGTAAATCATGTCAATGTACTGATTTTTCCTGCAGCCAGCTTCTCAAATTCATGATCACTTAGAATTATCTTTCTAAAGTCTTTACTATCATGAACCATATATTGGGGTTTTGTTTTACATAGTTATCCCTTTAAAAGGCCGTATGCGTGTGTTGCATTCCATATTATCTCTTCTAATCTCACAGTAACCCCACATGGTAGGCAAAGCCAAAATGATCATTTCCACATGACAAATGAGAAAAGTCACTTGCCTTGTGTCCTACTGCTAGAAACTGGTATGACTGGGTCCAACACCCAGATGCTCTGATTCCTGATCCAAGACATTATCATTTAGATTTTAACACAAGCAGGAAAAAAAAGATCAATCAATAAAATAATAAGATTTTTATGCAAATAGAAATTCCTCTTGTGCCTGAGTTTTGGGAAGATATACAATTTAAGTTGCTTGTCTACTAATGAAAGCAATAAGATCTTACATATATAGGTTACTTTTCCACCTAGAAATGCAGAATACCTGGAGACACACACACACACACACACACACACACACACACACACACACACACACTAAGAAACACCCTGCAATGCACATAAGACATATCTTCTATGCCTCCAAACTCCAAATCGACTCAACTGCCAACTCAGAGGATATAAGTAGAGTACATACTTACAGGATCCTTGAAATTGAAGTATCTGAGTAGGGGTAGATTATCCTTTGATCCAACCAGTATCAACATATGTGAGGCAAAATTGAAGCTGAAGAAATTTAACATCAGAATATTTGCAAAAAAAAGTCAGATTTGAGAAAGAAAAGAAATTAGGCATTTCTAGAAGGTGGGTATAATAGATATCCGTGTAGTCCCCCAAAGAGGGAGCCAGATTTTTTTAAGAAAAACTGAGCAGTAAATATGATACCAAGATATTTCCTGGGAAAAGAACTGATACTGGCTCTGGGGGAGCAAGAATATTTTCTGGCCTGAGTCATCTCCTTGTGGTTGGGTCTTAGAAGACTTCACGGGGCAGAGGAATTCTTTGAAGAGGTTGCCTGGTTCTATGAACTTAAGTGCTTGCTCCCCCAATTCACAATGGAGAGAAGGATAATCTGAGGGACTATCATTTACTGAGTATCTACAGGTCCTAGTCTAGATAGTTTCTCATCATTTCAAATTTGTAATCCAGCAAAGTTGTATTATTACCATTTTACAGATAAGGAAACAGAGGCTAAGGGAGAGGAAGTAATTTGCTATAAGCTGCAGTGCATGCCGACAGTTTATCTGGCTTCCTGCACTGGGCTGTTCACACTACACTCACTGTGTGTCCTGTGCTTCATGCACCCACCAGTCTAGAGAGGAAACACGGGTCTGCGAAGCCTTGAATATGAGAGCAAATTACTTGGTGCCTTCACACAGTTTCACTTTCTCTTCCTATCAATAGTTGGAACTTAGAAAGGGAGAATGAAAATGAAGAGTT